CACCAAATCACATGAAAGTGATCTGTTTTAGATTCTCCTCTAGTTACTTTTCTTTGATATGTGAGACACTGAGAGAGAGCTATATCCCAGACTCTACCAAATGAATAATCAACTGTGGGAGGTGAGCAAGATTGCCATTGACTTACTATTAAGATTCTTGCCACCGCTAGTAATAGAAAGACTAGGATCTTATGAGATACTATGGGATTTCCATTGCTTTCTAGCAAAAACAAGGCCAAGACTGGGCCTGATGTTAGTGTTTGAGCTATGATCTGAGAGGCAGTGGTAAAGGATGACTATTATGAATAATATCCTTAATTCTATGGGTTCCTGCTGTCTTCCATTGTACACATTTGTCTGCAAGGCAGAAGGATGGCTGTTCCAGTGTAGGAATTGAAGGGAATGCTGTTGACATGTGTCTGTCTCAGGAGACAATGTCTCCTGAGAGTGACAGTGCCTGCTGTGGCTGTAAAGACACAGGAGATATGAGAAACGCATGTTGTGTCATCTGCAGCTGGGGCAGATGACGGCGTCCGGTTATGCTGATGCAGAAACACCATGGCGTTTCCTCTCTCTGGCAATGTAGATGGAGCTAAATGTGAACGTCATCTCTTCTGTACCCAAAAGTCAACTGACGAAAAGGATCGTGCATTTTCTCAATCCACATCCAAGAAGGATTTAAGAAAGGCAGGGCACTAATTGAAGGGTTCATCATCCCCATCTGGAGTGCCACAGGCAGTGGCAGACTTTGGGTTGTCAAGTTTCAGTGGCACCCTGTTCAACACTAAAATTCAGTGCCATACCACCTCTCATGTTCTGTTCTACAGCATTGTTGTGGCACCCCCTGTAGCTTGGCGCCCAGTCCAAATACAAGATGCTTTTCTATTCTTATCCAAAGGTGTTCAAAGAAGGCCCTAGTAGTTCTGCAAGCATTAGAGACAAGTGTGTGGGCTGCTATAACCATCTCTGGCCACATGACAGGGAGCAACTAAAGCCTCAAGAGATCTGGTTTCCCAGGGTTACCCAGTGAAACCAAGCATCAGTGATGTGATCATGATGGGACTTTGGGGGGCTGAAGCCTAGTGCCTCCACTCAACAGAATGGGCAGGAAGGTTTCCCTGAGCAGCAGGGCTGGCTTATGTGAAGCAATCCCCATTAACAAATAAAAAGCCCACCTGGCTCAGTAAGGCAATTCAGTCAAGAGTCTAAAATTACCCAAGTGCACCACTGCCAAGCAGAGATAGGAACCTTCTGTCTCAAGAGCAACACTCATTGAAGAATAATGCCCGCCACACAAAAATAACTAGGTCAAGATGTATTTAACATGCCTGGGAAGCTCCCAGAAGGAAAAGAAATGGTTGAGGAATTAGTAAATTCCAGCATTGGAGATGGATGAAATGAGACAATTAGAGGAGAATGAGTCTAGTAAAGGTGTTGCCTGTAAGAACAAAGGCACATTACAATTTCCCACAATTACATATTGTTTCTAGGAGATAAGAGTGAAACAAAGAATGTAAAATTATACAGAATTAAATAATGAAGCTGACAAAGTTGCTAAATATTCATTTTAAAGGCTTCCTTTGCAAGGACGCCTGGCAAGGAGTATTGCTTGAAAAAAACAAGAATAATATAGACATTTGTAAGGTGCAGGAAGACAGAATATAATTGTGTGTATGCAAATGAATAAGGAAATGCCAGGCCAGGGATAGCTAAGCCACAGTCCATGGCCTGCATCCAGGTCTGGGCATATTTGGTGGAAACAACTGTGAGATTTATTATATCTGCACCCAATCTTTATGTTCAGAAACTCAGAGTAGCTTTTCACCTTGTCCTGACCCTATTAGATAGGTTAGGTGGAGAGATGCAGGGCCACCCAACAATCTTCACAGCAGGGTGAGACCTTGGACCTGAATTACTTGCTACTAAATCTGACACTCAAGCCGTTTCCTTGCGGATCCCACAAATGCTCTAGTATTTGCACTTGATTATGGTGACCTGTTGAATTGTGCAAACTACAGCATCCCAACAGTGAGCAACTAAAAGGTCACATACACAAGTTTGCTCTTGCTTCAACTGCAGTGGCAATTATAGCCTGTGCATTAAAGAAGAACAGCTGGATTCACAGCAACGAGCACTTTTATCCTACAGGGATTCTGTTACCACATATAGCAACTGAGCATGTGAAAAGATCCAGCCTGCATTCAACAGTATAGTCAACATCCAAACAATAAGCCCTTTATGAAGGAGTGGAGTGAAATCCAGCCCAAGAAAACTTCTGCCACCATTCTTTGAAGGTGCTACCAGACTTTTTCTCTCTTTTTTGCATGTGAGAAAAAGTGAGGGAGGTTTCTCTTTAATGCACCTGAAAAGACTAGAGAGAGCATTTCAATTATCATGGGTCCAAGCTGTCACCTGCAGTGAGAAGTGAAAAGGGTGCTCTCCTGAGAGTATCTGTCTTCTGTATCATGAATTCTTCAGACAAACAAGCAGAAAACTTCACTGCTGCCAGCAAGATTAGAAGCAGGTTGTTCCAGGTGACACCAGGTTTTCTTTAAAAGCCTCCAAGATCAAAGGCAGAAAAATCTTCCCTTGTACAGGGAAGCTAAATCACACAGAACTGAAGATCTAAAACATGCATGAAAGAGTACCCATTGTTTAGAAAAACAAAAGGGCAATCGTTCTTCCTCATTGCTGCATGGAACTGCTACATTTGAAGACATACCAGAGTTCTTGTTTTATTTTCCTGCATTCAAGGAACTAGGCCTGGCTTCAGAGATAAAGGTGAAGGTGTCCTCCATTACTGGATCTCCAACTTCTTGACTCACCAAAAAGAAACTACAGCCAGGCCATACACATTCTCTTTGGGGTGACCAGAAATAACCAAACTGCCATTACATCTGCTTGAAACCCTTTGGAAGTGCACCACTTCTCCCCAACAATTATTTTTGGCATCGTTCATTAGTGATATCCAGGGGCGGCCCACCCATGAGGCAATGTGAGGCAACTGCTTCAGGTGGCAGGATCCATTAGGGCAGCAGATCCCAAAGTCAATATTTCTTCCCCCATTGTTTCTGACGCCAAAATGTATTGGGATGGCCCTGGTGATAACATTAATGAAACAGAAAACAAAGGGTGACATTGAAGTAAAGATCAATTGGAATTAGTCATGTTAATTAATTTCAGTGGATCTACTCTCAGTAAAGCTTAGTTGAATACCCCCCAGTTTGTTTAACTTGCACAAGCTTCCCTCTAATTGCTCTTTTCTACTGCCCTAGTGTTGTATCCTTTTAACTATGAGTTTATTTGTGAAAAAGTTTGTTCTTAGCAGGACCCAGGAGTTGAGGGGAGAGATGGGAGGAGGGAAAAGAAGGCAGACATAAAAGAATAGGCCGAGAATGTAAATGGAGGTTATGAATGCAGTTTCTTATTACTAAAATTTATTCCCCACTGATAAAGTTTACCAGACCTAGAAGGATTGCAGCATGTCTATAATTTATCATTCATTAAGTATTGATAAATTGACTGCAGACACGCAGATGTCAAAGATAATTCAAAGGTAATTGAAAGAAATGAAAATGCTGTATTTCTTTAGTTAAGTTTGAGCAACACCCATGCCTGTGGAATGGATACATCCAATTAAGAAGGTACATATTACCATCTGCCACCACAGAAATTAAATTTTGCAGCAGCAGAGGCAGATATGCTTATGACTGTCACTCTTTCCAGAAACCCAAATTAGACAAGCATGCCTAAACCCTAAGAAAATATTTGAAGCACTATTCTAGACACCTTGTAGAAGTAAAAACATAGAAGGCATTTATTCTTTATTTAAAGCAATTTTACCCCTCTCTTCACTCAAGAAAGCTCTCACTAATACAATTTGGTGTTGTTGTTTTTTTTAAAAAAATCAATAAAAGATCGGTTACAAAAAGTCAGTTCCTGTCCTCAGGTCGACAGTCTAAAAGACACAACACAAAAGGAAATAAAGTGATGGGGAGGAAAGAGGAAAACAGCAAACTTAGGCACCAGTTCTTCAAGCTGCAGTTCTTAAAATGAGAAGCAGGGATGCAAGCAGTTCAGGCAGCCTGATGGAATGTCTAATGATAGGTGACAGTTGAGGGCAGGCCAAAGGCAGCTGGTCCATCAGCAGAGATGAAGGAATAGCCCTGCTTCCCTTCTTTCCCTCTGCTTTGCAGCCTTGATGCAATGGCTGCTACTAGAAAACATCCTAAATAATTCAACTGGGCGGGGAACCACAGCCTGCTCCCAGATATTCTGCGACCAGAAATAAATTCAAGTTTGCCAAATAAAACATTTGTGGCATATTTTTTGCTGCTTCCCAGTATAACATCAGCACCAGAGTACCAAAATATTAACATTCTTGTACTGTAGTCTTAGTGACTGGAGCATGGAGGGAGCTGTCAGATGTACTGTAAACTAGTATATTAAAGTATTAAGAAAGAAAAGACACACAAACCATTTCAGTAAGTAGTACAGAAATAAGGTATTTCCAAAAGATGTTCCCAGTGGTCTGTATGATTAATGGACTCTGACTGCTCCCTTGCAAATGTCATACCACAAGATGAAAGAGGAGACTGCGTGTAAATAAAGAAGGTGACATGATGTTTGGTGATCTCTTAGCAACAACTGGAGCTTCAAGAGCAACCACCCATCAATCATTCTTCTGACAGTGCTCATTGACTTCTTTGTGGCTTACGGGGTGTTCCTGAACTTGTTTTTGGTATTTTTGCCTGTGTGAAGTCCTGATAACAGCAATCCCATGCAGGTAAAGGGATTCTGTTATGCATATGCATAGACTTCCCTGTGCACAAGAAAAGTGATCATATATAGAGATGCCCTTTCCAGTGAAGTGAATGGGGATACACAAAACCATAAGGCAAGGACCATTATCGTGTCATTTTGTGGCCATCCTAACGAAACTGTATACATAATCTTTGCTTCTTTTTATTTTGTAGGCAAAACAATAAGAACCTCAATTCCTTGGTCTGAAGGACCTCTGTAAATATTTCCGACAGTATTTTGTTAAGACACATTTAAACAAGTCTTAACAAAATACTGTTGGAAATATTTGCAGAGGTTCTTCAGACCAAGGAATTGAGGTTCTTATTGTTTTGCCTGCAAAAGGAGGGGTATGATTTGTGAACAAAAAAGTGAAAGCATAACAAAAAGAAAGTATATAAACAAAGATTCAGTGCAGGTCCAAAGGCATAATAAAGTTGTAACTCACAAAGATCCCAATTACAAATAATAAAGATATATAAAAATAAAAGCATTATCTACCTGTGAGTTCCATCATTATTGAGAATAAAGGTTCTATATAGTCCTAAATGAGGCAGACATTTGCATATACTGTTGCATTGAGTGACCATGTGCCTTAATATTCAGATAAGAAATAAAATCATGCCATATCTTCTATATATATCTATATCTATATATCTAAATATCTATATATATCACAATCATATCTGCCCTCAATTGGTGTAATAATCTGAGGCTGTAACTTTAACAATTTTTGTTCAATTGACTGGATGTAATCAGTGAGATATAAATAATAGATGCAGAATTAACAGTGCAAAACACATTATTACAGGCACACAGTAGATTTTGTCCCTCTTTCACTTGAGGACAAAATTGCTCCTGGAGCTCCAGGTCTTGGTTTTTCAACTATGCATGATACACCTTTTCTTTCTCTCCATTTAGTCTGCTATCAAAAACTATGCAACAATCAGACAACACACTCTTGGGAGACAATTGCTAGGGCACCCACTCAGAGAACTTCATTGCTCTAGGCGTGCTCCATTTTCACTCCATGTAATGTACTCGGAGAGTCAATTTCGGAACAATTTCTTTAAGAATAATGGCAGCTGTGTGTTATTTCATGGGAAAATCACCATGTTTGCCTTATGTGAGAGCACAAAAGAAAACCTGTATACACAAAGCTAATGAAAATAAAATTTGACACGTCCAGCTGTCTAACCTGTAGGAATACTTTCCATGAGAATAACCTTAATTTCCGAAGTATATCTGAAAAAGTGTGCATGCACACGAAAGCTTATACCCAGAAGAAACCTGGTTGGTCTCTAAGATGCTACTGGACAATTTTTAATTTTTAAAAAATTATTTCGACTGCGTCCAACCAATACGGCTACCTGCCTGAACCTTAATTTCATTGACAGAAAGACTTCATAGAAATAAGCATAGAAGGAAAGGCAAGTATTCATATATTCCAGAGGCAACACTTTGTAATTTTAGGAGGATGCTGTTGTCATCCAATGCCAGCAAACTATACCCAGTTATGTAGAAGTATATGTAAGTGTCTTGTTTTTCATAATTGCTCTTCATATTGTGTGTTGAGACCAAGGGGGTAAAATTACTATTTATTTTTGTGCTTGTGTGTGTGTGTGTGTGTGTGTGTCTGTTGTCAGTATTTTCATCCCTCCCATTGCAAAGATCACCAGATCATGTTTGTTTTACTTTCTGTATCAGAGAAAGGAGGTTGTGGAAACCACTCTTTCAGATTTCCATCCCTAGCACTGCGCTGGTTTTTCTTTGATCTGTCTAGAGACTAGGTGGCAATATGAGAGAGCTGACTCTCTCGTGCATGTCCGGAATGTTCTTTTGTTTTGTTTAACCAGTAGTAATAAAATTAGGTGTGCAATAAAACCTCCACTGTTTTGCTTCCATTATTCTGCTACTATTGAGGTCCTCACAATAGCAAATGTGAGTCCACTGCATCAGGACCTGTTCCAGAGGAATGCTGTGTTCTGCTGTTCCTGTGTTCCTGTGATCGGGGGGGTCAGTGAAGGTGCTCCCGACACCCAGCCCATGCAGGCGCTGAAGACATGGGCTTTATACGGGTGTACGGACATCTGTGTGTGTGGCAGGTGGTGTTTTGCCTGTGGCCAGTAATATTTTGAAGCCTCCAATTCATTTTTATTTGTGCAGAGAGGCAACAGCCCCCATAATATCATAGTTGCAGAAGCAGTGCCTATGTATATATGAGTTGCTTAAAACACAGTGAGGTCATTTCCCCCTCACTGTGTTTCATGCCTCTTTTTTATGTTGCTGCACAGAGCAGAAAGGAGGCAGGGATGTCCCCACAAGATGCACATTATTCCATTTCTTTGCTTGTGCTGAACTCCTGTTCAGTGAAGCTGTTATTTGAACATGCACAAGGGCTGTTTCACATGTACACATCTCTGCTTAACTGCTGCTTATGTTTACAAATCATTTGGAAGCTGGTTTGGGGGGAAAGCATACCAAACTGCAGTATTTCTCAGAAAACTACAGGACACAGATAAATTGCGGCTAACACTGGGTGCACTGCACTTCAAACACCAGCAGTGGGAGCACATTGGAGCAGGAGTAAAGGAAGCCTGTTGTCCTTCCAGCTGGTTTATCTTGGAGTGCTGCTTTTCCCACTAGGGAGAGTGTTGAATCTTAAGGCAAGCCACATTACTCCTCCTTGCAGCGTATGGGGTGGGGAAACCTGTCATTCTTGGTTTCCTTCTGTTTCTCATTTTCTCAGTTTGCAATTTTTTGAAAACAAGGACTCCTCGTGGAAATTCATCAAGTAATCTAGTGCAAATTTCTCCTCATATACACATTTGCAAGCTAATAAAATGCATTCTGGTATTTCCGGCCCCCCCCACCAGAATATGTGTTTTTATGTGCGCTTTACCCTGGTTCATTCACTTTTGTACATACTACTTGGCAGGAGAACCGCACTGCAAAACTTGGATTAGTGGGTATTTTGAAGAATGGCCATGTTTTGGTTCAAATATAGTTTCAGGAAGTGCAAATTTGCTAGATACATCTTTAAATGTGTACTGAATTACTTCCCCATTGCTGCTGCCAGCAGCATGAATACATCTCTTTATATAGGAACTGAGGGAAACCAAGCCAGAAAGCTATAGATGCAGAATACGTTATTTATCAACAAGACTAACAGTATGATCCACACTCAAGATCCACAACACAGTTCAGCTGGGATTCAGCTAGCAGAACTTAAGTTGGTATAACTTATACTAGCAAACATCCCTCCCCTAAAAGGGGCATTCTGGAGGGTATGGTCAGAGCAGAACAGGACAAGACAAGGAGAGACTTACACCTATTCCAAGTCTCTTTCAGCACAGCCATACAACCTGGCAACACAGTGGAACTTAGTCAACAAAAAGCAGGGTGTAATTCAAATTTCTCTTCAGTTGAATTTGGAATGGGGTAAATCATGCTGGTTAGTTAAGACTTTTCTATGAAGGAAGGACGATGGCTCTGGGATTTTGTTCTGGAAACAAAGACTGCAATCTTCTACATGCTTATATAGGAGTAAGTCCCATGGAAATCAGTAGGACTTGCTTCTGAATAAACACCCAGACATGATTTTTTTTTATTGATAGCATTTTCTGTGGTATTATTTACCAATGAGCAGAGTGAAATTAACCGAAAAATTAGTTAAATGTGTTGTAGAAATGCACTAAAACCCCCTGCGTGCTAAGGAAAATGTCAGGTTGACATGATGCAGTGGTTATTGTAAAACTCATTTGAAACAAGTCAAATGGAATAAATACTAATATTGTAGTTCTCAGTAGGTGACCCACAAATGCTAAGTTCAACAGATAGTCAGGTAATAAATACAGTGTCAGATGTTTTCGTATGAGCTGAGACTTTCCACCATGGTTCCAATGGGTCATGGTAACCTACAATTACGATACGATATCTTTATTGTCATTGTCCCATGCAGAACAACGAAATTGAAAAATCTACATAAGACATTCAACCCCCCCTAAAAACTCTGAAACCCCATTTTAAAATACAGTATACTCCTATAGAGACTCTTTATGCTGCCTTTAAAACCAGAATTGCATTTGGGTAGAAACTGTTTCTCAGGCGGCTAGTCCTAGTCTTTATAACCCTGTACCTTCTTCCAGAAGGCAGAAGCTGAATGAGATCATTTCCAGGGTGCGCACTATCCTGCACTATCTCTGCAGCTTTCTTATGGCACCTGGCAGCATAGATTTGATCTAAGGTGGGAAGAGTGCACCCAATTATTGTCTCTGCAGTCTTTACAACCCTGGGCAGCATTGCTTTTCCCCTGACTGTGCAGCTCCCAAACCACACACACTGACCACTCTCCACAGTACAATGGTAAAATGCCATCAACTGGTCCTTTGAGAGATTGTTTTTCCGGAGGATTCTCAGAAAATATAACCTCTGCTGTGCTCTCTTCATCAGGTCTTTGCTGTTTTCTCCCCAGGTTAGGTAATCTCTCAACTCCATTCCTAGAAATCGAAATACTGAGACCTGTTCCACACACATCCCCTTAATAATAAAGTCTTAATTGAGTTGAGACTTTAATCTAAAATGGATCATACCAGTAGCACTTCACCCATTGTTCTTTTTTCAGAGTATTGAAAGTGGGAGAAAGAGGCAGAAGGAGGTGGAATGACAGAAGCAGGAGACACAAGGGTCAGAAAAAGAGATAATGAGGAGATGGTCATCTTCAGTCAAATACAGTAGACCCACAACCTATGTGGAGGTCACGTTCTGGGGATAGCACATAAAGCCAAAAACTTGTATAGTTTCAACTCATTGGTTGCTATGGTGGGTGGGATTTTGAAAGTTCCCCACCAGACACCAGCCTTCTTTTTATTTTTTATCTTTTGCCAGGTGTGTAAAGCTGAATACAGACAAGTTAAACGTGTGCAAGTTGTGGATCTACTGGATACATTAATAATATTCATCTTGAATACTGCGGTGAAAGGTGGATCCCAGGTCTGAAAAGATGTACAGTGGTACCTCGGGTTACATACGCTTCAGGTTACATACGCTTCAGGTTACAGACTCCGCTAACCCAGAAATAGTGCTTCAGGATGAGAACAGAAATCGTGCTCTGGTGGCTCGGCAGCAGCAGGAGGCCCCATTAGCTAAAGTAGGACTTCAGGTTAAGAACAGTTTCAGGTTAAGAATGGACCTCCGAAATGAATTAAGTACTTAACCCGAGGTACCACTGTATGTGTTATGCAAACTTACTTTCTTTTAGCCCCAGATTTGCTGTGCTTGCTAAATTCTTGGTCCCAGTTCAAAGATCCTT